AGCACACCACAACTGTTTCAGTGACGCTTCGAACGATTGACGTTCGTTTGAAGTTTGAGAATGGATAAAATGAGCGAAGGTGTTCATTCATCTTTCTTTCACAAGTATTCACTCGCATCATCCTAATTCCCGCTACTCTTCTGCAAGATTGATATGATATCTCACGAACTATCACACTGAGAATGAGATGCATTGAGATATGTGTGTGCTTGTTACTTGTTGTCACATAAAAACATGTGCCTTCACGTAGTACGTTGGTGGTTACGTTCATAGATTACCTCAGTTTATCCAATACTCTCTCAGTGGTTCGGATTGCACCTTCTTTTTAGTCGTATCAATTTCATGTAAGTTTTTACGTTAGCAGAAGTCAGCATTGCTAGCATTCGACAGTTCCTTTCTTCATATTACTTTCACATTTCAGTGATCGTTTTTGTTCCATTTGTGACCAGTTGCACTGGTTTGCAGAGCGCTTTTTGTTGCATTTCATGAGTACATTTTGAATTGCTATCATTCATCAATTTTGGAACTTGACGGATTCAATTTGAGGAGTTCAAAAAAATCTGTCTTTCATTCCATTGTTTGATGCTCTGAAATGATGAACGATTCACGTTTCACATTCACAAATCATATTTAAGCAAATTCCTTCCACTGACAGCCTTACTGAAGACGGCTGGCAAAATGCGCTGATTGTTATGAAGTCCAAAAATATGTGCCTGGCGAGATCGAGTTTATCATTTCAACTGTTTTGAACCTAATCTGAGTCTATTCAGTCGTTAGCAAAGAAGAAAAGACTGGGTGATAGAGACCAATATCAATGGCTCACCCTCAACTGCGCCGAACCAAGACAATCACAACCCTCGATGATCCCGTTATAAGTGGATCCAGATTCACACTGCCACAAAAAACTGATCTGAACAATAATAATTTCAACAAAAAGTTGGTGCTTTCTTTGGAGTTGTTATCGCTTCACCATTTCATATGCATTATATTCGTATTCGTTAGAGAATTTGACATTTTATTACACTATTTGATAGGATTTAAATAACGAATCAATTTTAGAAATGATAATATAATCGATCACGAACCACTTTATTCGAAATCGTTTGTTTGGGATTGGCCATTCTCAGAAGATCGACAAGCCCAAGGCTTTCTTTCAGAAGACAAATTTTACGTTTGCCTACCGTTTAATAACGGTGGCACTGGTGAATCCAAAGGAACGGTATGTAATGAGAGTCATTTGAGAGTTTTATTCTTAGAAGTCTTCGTTGAGAGTGAGAAAAGAGAGAGTTACCACTCAGTTCATCGCTCAAAATAAGTTTTAAGACGTGCGATGGTGTAATTGTTAAACATTACTGTTAAACTTATCAAATTATATTAAACGGCATAATAATAGAACAGTGAAATTGGCATTTTATTTTCGTTTGAAACTCAATAAATTTTGATGGTGCCTGTTGGTACATAAACGATCAATGTTTTTTTTCTAAACTCCCAGACTTTTCACTATAAAATAAGTTTTACGAATGACCGTACAGTAGATTGCCTCGAATAAATCAAAATTTCAAGTTATTGTCCAGTATTATCACCCCAATTGATATTACATACCTTCCGGAATATATGAGAATAACAATCGTTGAAATTTTTGATTTCGATCATTTGGTCACTTTAACAAATTTCACTTGTTTGATTAGTGGTCAGAAAAATGCAATATGATTTGTTGTGAATATTTCAGTTGAAAAAATTCGAAAAGATCTCAGGTGTGGATTACATCTGGACGTTGGGTCTTTGTAATAGTGGTTTTATGGGAACTTGTTTTTGGCGTATTGAAATCCAAATTTTGAGGGATCTCAATATGCTCACTGTTAACGCATCAAGGTTCGAAAGTCTGCTCAAAATTTCCTATTTGTATCGCTCTGAATACATTGAACGCAAATTTTTCTTCACACTTCTCCGAAGCTGATCTCATTACCTCAAAGATGACATTTATTCCTGCGGCACGACAACAAACGAAAGCACCATATTGTCTCGCAAACAATATGGCACATTAAATCCAAACACAGTATCCTGATCATTGCAAAATTTAGACAGTCTCTTTAAAATTCTCACAACATTACGAGATTCCATCTGACTGCAATCAGCTCCCCCTCTGCAGTCAAATCTAGTTATCTCGGTGAAATCTTGAGGTTACCTAAGGATATGGCTGACTCGAAGGTTTGAGAAAAGTATGCACAAGAAATTATTTCTTTCATAGGCTTTATGTTAATATTTTGATAGGATGTTCAGTTATCAGCGATGAATTACGGTTGAATAAAGTTATATACTGTTGAAATTCAAGAGATGTGGCTCGACCGGATGAGACGAATAAACGTTTGAAAAGAATTCGCAAAGTTTATCGTTTACCAAATCATTATGATATATCGACTCTGCATACCGAAACTTACGATTGGGCTGTTGTGATTGAAGTATATCGACGAACTGACAAGAAATTCGGTAGACCGATGCGAATTCAAAGGGCCGATACAATCGTTTAGCGAGATTTGTTATAAGTGTTATTATCGTCGTAATGTTTCTTCTTTTTATTAATATTATACGTACTGTCGAACGTTGCATAGTATGAATATAAGTGAATGGTTCTAATAGGATGGAGTTCCTGTCTGGCAGGAATTTGCTGATGTCGGAAGGAAACTGAGGAAGTTGGCAAATCATTGTTGAGTGATTTTTTCATGATTCTTTTAAAAGCGTCCGATATTACTTTCGAAATGCTTGTTTGGTCGAAAGGAGTTGTTTCATATGATGACAACGACAAAGTATCAAAGGAGAGGAGCTACGGTCACCTGGATTGTTAGAGGGAGGGAGTAGCGATCTACCATACTGCCAATGGAGTCGCAGCGCGCAAAATCGTGAGGACTGCGATCTAAATTGTAACTATCATTAATAGTATTAGAATGTTACATGACTATTGATAAATTTAAGTTCAGACAGTGTGAGGTTTAGATAATACGAAGAAAATTTTGCAATTCATGCTCTTACTTTCAGCCATATTTATCAATAATACTACAAAATGAACAGCCGTTTTGAATAT